GCTGTTGGTTCTCCCTACTTCTCTGCTGCACACGTTCACCACCCAGTGTTTAAATGCATCGCATGCGGTAACAACAGTACCTTAGTGAAGTGTGATTACTGTGCACTCCTGCATCACGTAGGAGAGTCATTAGACGAAGAAGTTTTAGATTTCGTGGGAGTTCAAAGGAAACAGATCTGATGTTGCTACGATGCCACACAGCAAAAAAGGAAAAAAAGAAAAGAAAAAACTGTTTACGGGAAATCTAAGTTCCTCAGGAATTGCTTGGTGGTACTTCTGGTGTCTTGGAATGTTGAAATAGCATCTAGTTTGTCACCAGGACCTCTTCACTGCTGTTCCTTTTTCAATTTGATATGTCATATGTGTTTATTTATGTGGCTTGATACACAGATCTGTGGTATATTAGCATGAACCATCGTATTAACTAAAGTCCTGAGGAGGTATTTTAGCAAACATTGAGTCACGGAGACACTGTTGTTGTGACATTTCACACTTTAGTCTCATCGGAGCTGGAAGAAGGTGGGCACTTCATTTGTTTATGTTTACACCGGGTGACTCATTAGGGGGCATCTCTAAGCCATATAAACGACAAAAAGCAACAGATTCATTGAAATTCATAATGAAACATGGTAAACGTGGCGCGGGACAGAGGTTTGTCTTCCAAATAAAACTGAGTGATGTCGCGTGGTGTCCTGCATGTTACTCGGGGCTGGGGGCCCCAGGGGCCACCTCAGGGGCCCGCCTCGTGTCGCTCTTTGCTCCTATGGAAAACTGCTCGTCCGGTTTATGTATTCCTACCTTACAGCTGCGGATGGTGCTTCTCATGCACCGAGCGGTCGCCAAACAGGACAGGACCTGCCAAGCTGTAAAGTCTTTTTGTGTGCTTTTTTTCCACGTTGTATGTAATACTGTACTGTATGTATATTGTAAAAGGATAATTACATATATTTTTTTACATATGTATCAGTGTAGTCGTGGCTTTGTACAGAAGAGTACTGTATTTAATTGTAGTATAAGTGGTGTTTAAACCAGACTAGTGACATGACCACAAAGAGATCTACCGGCACTGTTCGATGGCCAAGCAAAGCACCAACGTAACAGTTACATCACCGGACAGATTAACCAATGAAAATCAACGTGAGAGTGATCCAATCAGATTAACCGTGTTTACAAGTCAAAGATTGCGACTATCGATCATGTACAGTGTTCTGGTATGCGCAGCGGTTTTCCTGTGAGTTTACTTGTATTCATTGTGTATTGATACAGAATTTAATGTCAGACATGCTTGTATTTTGATACAAAAAAAAAATACAAAAGAGAGTCAAAACACTGGAGTGAAACTGATTAAAAATAAACAGATACGTGCAGGAATATTTACAGCTATTTATGTTTCATTTTCACTTAAGTGCTTGCATGTCTAAAATGTTCTATTGATTAAATGACAAAGGGATATTAATCTAAGAGGGACATGCAGGTGGGATTGGAGTGGGGGGTGGCTGGGGGGGGGGGGGGTGGACATCCTGCTTCTTTTGCCCAAATGAGGTCCTTAGTGCCCCTTTTCAGTCAGCGAGAATCACCAGGAAGTCGAATTTAGTTTTGTTGTGGTTTGCCTTGGGGACCCCCCTCCCCTCCCATTAAGCCCCCCCCCACACACACACACACCCTCCCATTAAGACCCTGCCTCTTGTACAGTTTCTGTTGGATCTTGGTTCTGAACCCTAAGGCCCAACCCTGATCACTGCACATTCTGACACCAGCAGCCTGTCTCTGGGGTGTGTTTTTCCACTGGCTCCCCCGGGGTCAGTATGCAGTGCATGTGACCCTCCCACCAACACAGAGAGGAACGGGGACCCCTGCAGGCTCATCCTTTGAAGCGACCTGGAACTGAAGTGAGCAGCGGCAATGCGGCAGGAAACTGTCCCTCATGTGCATGTGACAGATGTCAAAGTGGTCAGAAAACCAATACTTCATAATAACTCCGAAAGGACCTGGCGGGAGACACCATGAAATCAATTTCTGGTTGCCATGCGACCACTAGCGATAGTAAATAAAAGAGTAACCGAGGAATGGGGCGATACAGAGGCAGCAGCACTTGGCAGAATGCAATCTATATTATAATGGAATCACGCCTGTGAAATTCTGCCGTCGCAGGAGGAGGGGATTCCTCAGCCCCATCTTCCATTCAGCGCTGTGCATCTAAGAATAAGTAACTAATATTTCTATGTGTTTTATACGTCTTTTATATTCACCAGAGTAGCTGCAAAAAATGATTTTGATTGTAGTTAAAGCCAGACATACGACCACGATGACCACAATCACATAACGGTGCACGCGACCGTTTTCTATGGTCATGATCACAAAATCCGTGGACTATACAAGCCTGGTAGATTACTGGTGTCACAGCCCAGGATGGATGCCGGAGACTGCGAGCGTCAGTGTGACCCCGTCCCCCGCTTTCTGTACTCGGTGTGTGGTCTACAATCTGCCAGCTTACACAGACCTGCTTGGAGAACCAGCTCGCTGACGCACCTCAGCCTACACCTCGCTTTTATTAACGCGGGCTGCTTTTCCTTGTATTCTATAATGTTAGCATGCCCGATGGGTTGGGCAGACAGTCGACCTTGGACCCCTGTTTTTTTTTCCTTTACTCGGGAGTCTTTGATTCCTCTTCTTCATAGTCTTCTGATGGCTGGCAGCTATGAGTGCTCAGGGTGTTGGGAACAAGGCAGAACAGGAAAGACACTTGGGATAAATTGCTTGTAATTGGTTTGGAATGACTTGACAGTGATTCATACATAATGCATACCGGTGAAGCGGTGCTGGTGAGAGTTTGCCTGCGAGATGGATTGACTCATATCTGATTAATTAGAGGTGCTGGTGAGCACGAGACTGCGGTCAAACGCTTGACGGGTCCGTACGGACTCCGGCTCCAAACCCACGTGTTCGGGCAAATTCGGTATCAGAGCGATTCGATTCGCGTCTTGTATTTATTATAGTGATGTTGATGGTTTGATAAATTATGGATGTGCAGCCTTTTTGCTTGTTCTGTCTTACGACAAGAGGTTCATTCAGTACTACGAAGGTCATATACAAACAAATTAAGCCGAATCCGAGTTGCAATGCTATTTTAAATCCCTCGAGTGATTTAATTCCATTTTATAAACAAAGAAATTATATGAACATAGTTTTGTGTTTGTTGGGCAATTAAACGTAACTCATTATCTAATAAATAATAGGAAGTATGAAACTGAATTATTTTGATACCGTGCTTGCATCGTCTTCATAAGCACGTGCACAAGGTTCACCACAGGAAACGGCAACTCAGAACCACCGGCTGCTAAATTTTTAGTAGTCTTTAAAACATCTTTGTCAGGCAACTCTGGGGTGTTTTGATATTTTAGGTGGTGCTGTAAGTAAAGTATTCTGCGCTGAAGGGGCTGTAAAACTCCACCAGGGCTTGGATCATACAAAGACACTTTCAGCGTGCATTTCCGAACGGGGAAATACGTGATTCCCCACCCATTCCGGATCATATGAGCGAAAGAAACCGGCCGCACTCTTCATCATTATATTGGCGATACAGTAAAGCAGAAAGCCAGTTTCCCTGCTTTATTACAACACTGCACGCCTGACTGAGATGAAGCTCCAGATCGTTTTGTTGAAGGGCAAGTCGATAATCATTACGGAGTGAGCAGCCCTCTAAGCAGATTCTATGCAAATGAGGATACAAGCCTACCTTGATGTCACTTACATGGTAAAATCATACATTATTGATGTTTTGTCCTACATATGATTAACTACATTAATTACATCACATGCCATTTAAAGCTCTATCGCTTATACAAAATGAACGACGAAGAAATCAACACAGTCAACACAGACCGTGATATTGTTCACAGATAGCAGTGGCTGCAGTTTTTGCATAAGCTTTGATTTTTATGAAAAAGAAACCCCTGCTTTTAGTGGAGAGTGATGTTCAGTGCCCACATAGAGAAGAAACACGTGCCAGAGTTCTTTTGTCCCAGCTGAACATAAGCAGCTCTTCGGTAATGATTTTCTGAGCAGATGGAGTACAGGGTTACCATGATTCTTAAACCATCATCTCTATAGTCACCCATAATGCAGATAATCCTGAATGCATTCTGCTCGAAGTTAAATTTTTAATTTTACGCAAATACATGCTCTCTTTACTGGCATAGAAAAGCGAAAATGTTTATCAAACAATCACCACCCAAAACGTAGGATTGGCCTTCTTTGCATGAGAAAAATGATTTACCACAAAGTATTTTTCCGAATTGAGCAACAATACCCAAATCACGTGACTCTACTGCCCCCTGCTGGCGATGGCTCGCTTGGGGTCAAAAATCAGAATTTTTCGCCTGTGACACATCGGTTTAATTACATTTGTTGTCAAACAGTGAGACCATTTTTTTACTTTTAAGTGCACGCTATATACACTGAAACATCAGTCGTTTCCGCATAGTCACGAAGGTGTCATTAAAATGGACGATCTGGTTTTAATAGGAATGGAGAATGTTGCTGAAATTAACTGCCAAATGACACATATTTATAGTACTGATTGGTAATGAATATATGTATATAACGTGAAGCTGTTGTATCATTGCTTCATTAGAAAAAAAAAACGCAGGTCTATAAAGCCAGTGCAGAGTACTTGTGTTACTATGCATGTTTATTCACCTATCAATATAGCAAACCTTTTAGGGGATGCTTTGCTGAACCGAGGCGCTCCTAACGAAAACCTGCAGTACAGGGAAAGGTCGCTAGGCTGACAGCCTGCATATACTGTGACAAATCATTATAAAGGCCAATGCACTATACGGAAATCAACTTAGGAGTCCGCATGTCGTTTTTAATTAGGTGATACGTTGCGTTATATACCCCAGGTTACCTAGCCTACTTCGTCACGAGTTTAAACGCCATCTGTTGGTTACTTTGCACGTTTTTCGTGTAGGTATAAACAAGGTGTAACAAAGCAAACATACTTTGCTTCAGCTTTTATTTTTATAACCCATTATAAGAAAACTGGAAAGATAACAGATGAAAGCAGGTTTATGGACACTTGTGGAGACACTGAGGGATTAAGAGACGGCGCGGCGTTGGGGTAGGAGCGTCAGTCCCCCACGGTCCGCTTTAAGATGTACGGTCTCCTACGGCCGTTGCTTCCAAGCTGCCTTTTCAGGATGTAAGGCCATCTCCTCCTAGGTGCGACGTCTCTGTTTTCGACTCGCTACACAAAAAAAGCAGATGCGGCACTTCATCAGCACCATTCATCTCGGTGCATAAATGTATCACGTGTTTTACCCCAGTGAATAGCCAGCTAGACACAGCGCCTATCGGTTGCACCCAAGCTGAGACTCAGTTTGGTCTGTAATCCAGATTTCAGCCTGCTGTATGACGAAATATAGGCCTACTTAAGCCTGTTTAAATACTGTCATTCTGCAATTACATACTATAAGATGAAAGTTAGCCTTTATTAGTAAGTCGTCAACGGACAAATTATAATAATTTATATTATTAATAATTAATTAATAATAATAATGTGACCGTGGATAAAATACGCCCATTCCTTAGTGTTTCCTCGACTCACCTTCCAGGGCTGCACTGAAACACAAAGCGTCTGCAGGCTTTGGAGAAGTTCCAGTGTTTTGGTGGCGTTTGGGCGCCCCCTGGTGACGAGCTCTTCCTCTGCGCTTAACCACGCATCCTGACCCAAGCGGCTCAAAAGCCCGCAAACATTAAGTAATATCGTCCTCCAGTAGGGGGCACCCAGTTTGCTCACCTGTGAGAGCAGAAATGTGTAGCTATTAGCTCACTAATTTCGGCTTGGGACCACTGCTGCAATGAAGATAAGAAGACCTTTATAATTTAAATTTAATTGTGTGCAGTACACTGCAGGATTTCGGAAGCATTTTTGTCAGTTTCTTAGTAGAGACTCGTAAATTAGCCAGGAAATAGGAAAGTCAATGAGAGGAAGCAGTGGGGATGTAATAACGACTGTTTTTATGAATGGTCATTAAACAATTATAAGTCATAATAACTAAAGTATTTCGACTGTGTGAATTGCCCAGCTAATTGAGTGTTCATAAGTAGTTACAGATCAATGATATCCAACATAAATGAGCTTTTTATAGAGCTCTTTCCTACTGCTGTGGGACTGCAAGACTGGTGGATTCATCCCTCAGTGACGTCAGGGGCATCCATACATGTAGCATTTCTGCTGCTAAGCTAGTCAGCAGCTCTCAGTCCGACTAAACCGCAGCCAGATGAGCAGCGGGACAGTGACACCAAGCGGATCACAACCAAGCGCACCCTTCACTTATGTGACATACATGATGTTTGCACACTGTTGCGGCGTGGTTTGGTGAAAAGACAGTCCAAGGAGAGGTTCTTAGGCAAAAGGGGCCGTACTGAAAAGAAAAAAAAAAAAACATAACTCCACAAGAAATAATGGACCACAAGCGGGGTTAAAAACCAAGCAGGCAGACAACAAGTATAAACCAGGGAACAACAAAGGAACAATCACAATGACCAAATGAGGAACAGAATGAGGGCTGGCACTTAAATACATGTGAGACGAAGGCTAGACAAGGGACAGATGTGGACCATAACTAACCAAACACTGAAGACTAGACAAACAAGACACAGGTAAGAGTTATTAAGACTACAGAGTGAAACACTAGCATAGCTGACACACAGGCAGGGTAAATTAGAACCAAAGACTCAAAACAAAGACCTAAACTGGAATACAAGTGCTAATGACCAAGGTCACAAAAAACTCAACATGTCTTCACGGTAGGGGAGCTCAGTTCTCAGCCCACGCAGCCAGATGGTGGCCAGGGAACAGGGAAACACACTAGGACCCGTGAAGCACACAGGACTAGGGGACCTGGGATGGCCAGCGACACCAGCTGGCCAAACGGGAAACTGGCGCAGTGGGGACTGATCCTAACACATACACGTTTAAATAATGTAGGAGTCTCCTTTATCTAAAGCACCACGCAATTAAGAAAGCGAGGTTAGACAATCTTTGGAGCTGGGGTTTGAACTGTCGACCATTTAATCACAGCCACGGAGTCCCTTCACCTCTATGTTCAGTCCATTAAATGTTATTTAATACAGTACAGTTTACCAGGATGTGCCGGTAGCTTCCGGAATAGGCTCCGGACCCCCGCGATCATGAAAAGGACAAGTGGGTGCAGAAAATGGGTGGATGGATGGACAGACGGATGGATGTCTGAACGGGCAGTTGTACAGTTCACTAGCAAGTTGTAAGGGCTGTATGGAACAGGAAATCAGAATTAAACGAACACACAAAAAAGCCTTAATTTGGTGTCAGAGGGGCCGTGTGATGTGCCGGCTGTGTGGCTCGTCTGACGCCCTGCGCTCTGAGTGGCGTGGAGATGCAGCAGGCAGGGCAGCGTCTAACCCCCCTCCCATGAGCGATTACACACTGTCTTGTATCGTTGCCCAAGAAGGCATCTGTTTGTCAATTGTTTGCCTAATTGCTCTGGAAAGTGTGACTTTTCATAATAGCATTTAAATGTAAATGTACGACGTGCTCTTTCTATATTAATAAGACATCATCCAGATATATGAATTCATGTCGTCATAAAAATATGCTACCATCAGAATGTGCTATATTTAAAATGGGGGGATCACATCAATAATAAAACAATTTTCAGCTGACGCGTGACTTAAAATGAATTAAAACCGCAGGTTTTTTTTTTTGTCTCAGAGCTGTGTGCTGTCACTAACTAAACAGTAGGGGGAGCATTTGTACAGAAATAAATCCCATTGAAGCGCTAAAGCCAACACACAGAGAGACGGAGGCAGGCTGAGCGACAGGGACAAACCTTCAAAGTGACCAGGCTGGTAAGTAGCTGCCCCTCCGTGCTTTTCCATTTGTCATCTGAGTCTGTTAGAAAAGCCAACAAACAACATCCACATTGGTAAGTGGCTCTTTTCCAAAGAAGGGAAATTCAACTGAGACACCATAGAAGTGAAATGGAAGTGATTTCTCTGGAGTCGCTGGGAGGCTGAACTTAGACACCCCAGGAGATCTTAGTTAAGGGGGGCTTTAGTTATCAGAACAGGGGGGTTTGGTAACATCTTAGCTTCTCTGATGATCTGCATGGTTATACGTTTTGCAGTTTAATGCCAGGGGTTCCTATAGCTTCTGACAACATGCTTCCACCAAATGTTTGGTGTTAAACAGCTATTCCACCGGATTTTTCCAAAGACAGCGATCGTAATGGTCCCCGAATGGATCATATGCCATCAGATGTCCCGGTGCCGCCCTGAAGCAAACACAACGCAGCGGGAATTCCCGGGAAACGGATCCCAGCTCCTCTCAAACTGTGCTCTTCTTTTACATGTATCGCGCCAATAAAGGAGCATGTCCAGGAAATCTGTAGATGTGACTATGAACCTATTGAACATAATGGATTCTCTTCATTAGGAGACAAAGGAGATAAGTACTTGGCTGCAGGCACCATAGTGCAGCATGTTACAGATCTTTGACAAACAGCGAACAAACACGGGACGTGCCTCTTTCAGAACTGTTTTTCGTTTGATTCATGTTCCTCGCCAAGACAACGAGCAGAGGAACTGTGCCCCTGCGACCAGTAAAAGTGAATGCTACACACCAGACACACTGCAAATCTGGTTCACAATAAAAATGTCATGCACTTGACACAATGGTGAACATTAATATCACTATTTTATTCATGACATTGATCTGACCAGTGTCACAAATAAAAATACAAATACAGTGAAGTCAAATGGTACCTTACAGTACTGTGAAATACTATAGTAATAATAGTATCAAAAATAATAGTACTCAAATTAAAGCACTACATGGAAACTACAGGCGAGCACCTTCAGGGGTTCAATGGCACCTGAAGGTATGACCGTCACTGCAAATTCAGTCACTGCAAATTCAGTCACTGCAAATTCAGTCACTGCAAATTCAGTCACTGCAAATTCAGGGCTGGTCACCTGCCAATCTCCATAGACCATACCAGGTTCAGCCATATATACGCTACTCCATGCAGACTTTCTGCGAGTTCTGTCTGTACGTACGGGTCCTACCTGTGCACATTCCCCCACATGCCAGAAAGAGAAGAAGCACACAGACCAGGATGGTCCTCATCGTGTGGGATCAGCCGCTGCTGTGTCCAGACATCCACACGTCCATAAGGTGAGGATCAGTGCCCCCCTCCCCAGCTGCCTGCGTTTAGCAGAAAAGCAGACAGATCCCAGCCCCCGCTGTAGATGCCCGTGTGTGATGTCAGACAATGTCCCTCCACCTCTTACCTGCAAGCCCCCCCCCCCCCCATGTCACCCGTGCGTCACATGGCACTCTGCTTGCACGAGTGTGTGTGTGCGAGTGAGGGGGTCTACACGTCACTGATTCATTTTGAAATTGGCTTTCAGGCCCACAAAGACTGCTGCTAAATTCTTGCTACATCACAGACAGATAATAGGGTCAGAGGGAAGCAGCCCCTCCCAGCTCAATCATGCAGATGTTTTTGATACAGAATAAAGATGCGTGAAGCAAGGCAGCTTCACTAGACGCGTCAGTCTGGTCGGCAAAGGGGTGAGATGATAAGAATCATTTATAGGAAAAAACATTTTTACTTGGCTGTTTTCCTTTACTCTCCTTCTTTCTTCACTTCTTTTTCACAAAAACATTCCCCACGTGGTGTAGTACAGTGGTTAGCACTGTCAACTCTGGGACCTGGGTTCACATCTCCAATAGGGTTCTGTGTGTGGAGTTTACATAACCCCCCCCCCCCCCTCATTGTCCAGAATATGCCTGTAGGTGTGAACGGTGCGTGAGTGCGTCCTGTGATGGGTTGCTGTTCCCTGTCTTGCACCCAAAGGGTCTAGACTCCCTGCAACCCTGAAAAGGACACGTTTCAGAAGTTTTTCACACATTTTGCACCTACCTTACGAATTTTTACATTAACTATTATATTTTGCACTAGTATATAGGCTATAACGTTTAAATCAGCTTCAGCCTTAAAAAAGTAGCATTTTAGGACGACCCCAAATATAAGCTAAAGTAAACCTGAATGTAGCCTCGGCATCAGGCAGATTGGACGGGGCTGTGTCTTTCAGCAGGATCGGGACGCCCTCCCTCCCTCCCTCCACCCTGACTGGAAATGGGACTCCCTCCCTCCCCCAGACTGGAAATAGGGCGGCCCCCCAAGGCAGCCTGCCGAAGTGCGGGTTTCTAACTTAACAATTTGTGGACTCGGTCGCCATGCCATTGAGTACACAGGCGTACATGCTGCTGTCGCACCATGCTGGCACCGTGCTAAAGTCCCGGGACGCTTGTCTGGACCTCGGCGAGCTGCCATGGCCCCGTTTGGAAGAAATTTTCTGAAAGCGCGCTTGAAAAACAGGTACTTTAAAATGACAAAAACTGGGGTCGGGTCTCTGCAAGGTAGCGCTACTACTTTAAAAGTTTTTAAATTAATTTAAAGACACTACTGCTGGGTTTATTTCGTTGCCTTTCCAGCCTTTTGGGTTTGTGATCTTGCTGTCTGCAGGATATATATTCTCAGTTTCATCATAATGTTCAAGCAAATCGAATAACTTCCACTTTCTCTGATACCCCCAACTAAATTTCAGCAAAACAATCGAGAGAGTTTAGGCATTGTTTTAAAAGTAGGGCGCGATGTTTTTAAACTGAACTGGTGGATTTTAGAGCTGTTGTGTTTATTTCTCACCACGTTAATCCTCTGCGATGGCATGCTGTACCTGCGCATTGTCCTAATGTAGGTTACAATGCGATTGTGTCACCGCATGCATGTCGCGTTTGGCAGCGGTCGTCGTTATAATTAACTTAATACGCCCTCTGTGATGGTGCCCCGTAAACGGGGTATTTGCGTATCTGATTACAGTGAGCCTGGCTACTAATTACAGAGATCTCATCACTATGCGGAAACCACCATGTAAATACAAATATCCTGCTCGTTTTAAAGTTGTTTCAGCTGCACTTCATTGGCATTTTCTTCTGGTAGTATAAATGATTGCAGCATACAGACCCGCATGAATATGAACTATGAAACTTGTAAATCTAGCTGTGTGTGAGTTTATACAGTAAAGTACAGACTCTTGTATGTGGAAGTACTCATCAAAGATTTTATGGAGTGGCACTCAATTCTTGTTTTCAGAAAAATCTTTTACGAGCCCCACAAAAGACAAAATCTAAGCCTATAAAATCTCGGAGAAAAATGTGATGCAACATCCAGCTAACGCAGTTTCCTTGAAATGTAATACGGTGTCGTTTTTATAGTAGCCTAATCATGTGAGAAATGCGCGTGAGCTGGGTCCCCATTCCACAGTAATAATTACGTGTCAAACCTTTTATCAGTGCTGGCTCCTGTCGATAACCTAGAGGGTTTCTGCCTTCTGCACTAGGATAATTTAGTGTGCAATTTACTCCGATGGTTTGGTTACCTTTTGAGGTTCGGTGGGTGGACGACAGTCAAGTGTTGAAGAATGAACGACTGGGCTGCCTTTGGCGCCACAGGCGGGTGCGATGACGCTTGTTTTACTATGCGGATTCCTGTAATGGTTCAGACCTACAGAACATCAAATGCAGGTTTTTAAGGGGAAAATTATTGTAAGACCCCCATGCGTGAGGCACAGTGGAGGGAAGGTTATCACTGGCAGTGTTCCTACCTGCACTGCTCTCACTGCATGTTTGGTCTTGGAAAAGTTGGCTTCAAATGCTCAGGCTAGATTTCACCTTTGTTGTGGCTCAGACTGAAGATTTAAGAAACTTGGGAGAGTCGTCTGAGGCGTCAATATCTGTACAGGTGTCTCTTTCTCACAGATTATACAGACGATGTTTCTGTCTATACGTTTTATGGTGTTGTCTAATATTATTACAGTAAATTTTTGCTCATTTCTCGGTATTTACACTACAGGAATTTAAAATGCGTTTAGGATTGCACTCCATTTGACAGATTGAGTAATGAATTTATTATTGTACTCCAAGTTATCAGATCTGGTGCAGATCACAATCTTACTGGATTTCGAAAAGCACCACAACGAGATCTCTAAGCTGGTGGTCATAAATGCACATGAATGCTCATATATAAAAGCATTTGTCATTATCTAAGGTATCCAAAGGTCATGATTTTTTATTTACCCCAAAATGCCCCAAAAGCACCTCCTGATTAAATGGGCAGGCAAGTTTTCACCCACGATTTTTTCATTCCTTACAGATAATGAGCAGGATGCATGACTTACATCCACGTTGCTTTTTTTCATATTTCTGTACCTTAAACCACGGTTCTTTGTTTGGGAAACGAATCCAGCCAAATGCTTCATTTATAGCCCTATAAATTTTTATTTGCTTTTTATTGGTTGTTTTTATTACTTATGTGCTGCCGGATGTTGTGTCATGTATCAGCCCCGTCTGCGAGGAAATCCTGTTACTTTGAAACAGACAACAATTCAGTTAAGTTTAGTTTAATATAGCGCCTTTCATAACCGTGTTGCTCCCAAGGCGCTTTATATGAGTATTTTGTAGTACATTCCTACATCATTTATACTGAATAATTCAAAAACATGGACAAGGGAAGACAGAAATGATAGAAAGCCAGATGACAACAGAAGAGATAAAATATACTTCAATATACATGTGTATGGTTAGTGTACCTGTGATGTTGCTTTCAAATAAAGATCTAAGGTTTTTTTTTAACACAACAATAGGACTCTGGCTGCCGCTGTTTCACATTCCATTAAACTTGATAAGTTTTCCTTTTGTTTGCTTTCCTGTCTACGATTTTCGGTCGTGGATATCAGGCATTCCTCACATTAACGCCGCCCCTAACCCTAAAGAGACGGGTTTGCCTTACTGTACTTCTCCGTTTGTGTATCTGCGCTTCTTTTTTTTTTGTCTGCATAACTTTGAGGGAGCATGAATGGTATGTGCATTTCACACAAGTGACTGTTTTGGGATGAGTGGCGAAACCTTCCAGTTGCCTCCTGCCGTCATGCAGACATTTTCAGCTTCTGGCTGAGGGCAGAGAGGAGGTGAAACGGAACTGTTCCTAACACCCTAACCCTCAGCTCTATGCAAGCTAAATGGAATTCTTATTTTATGACCAATTTTTTTTAATTTTTTTAGAAAACAATATCTGACAATATCTAACTGGCTTGTGTTCTTCAATAGGCTGTTCTGTTTTTATGGACTATACTATTGTTCATGGGAAAACAAAGCAAAGGGGCTCCTTTAGCTTTCTGCGGCTGTATCGTCAGCTGCAGATTTTCATACTAACTATAGTCCAGCAGTAAACAGGGAATCCCAAAATGGTGGAAATGTTCCAGGATGCAGCCAGAGCCCCAGCGATTGCTGAGGAGGGCAAATACAGATGTTTCCTCTGCAGAAGCGTGGATTTCCTGCACAGATATGAGACATTATCTTGGAAAAATTGATTTATTTTTCACAAATGCCGTGGTCTCCTATTTTGCATTGCATGATGGACACATTTACCTTTCAGGGTGATTTTTCCACAGATCAGCGGCTGATGATTCAGGCCCTTCACTATGAGGCCTTTGTGCCTGTGACCAAACGCTGTAGAGCCCTATAGCTTTCATTGCTCTAGCGCCTCTCGTTCTCCTCAAATGCCTAAACGTAACGTGTAGCACTAATTGCAGTTAAATGCCCACAGTACATTTTTTTCTGGCACTTTACACTATCAGGTTGTTTGTCTTTGGTCTCTGGGTGACTAACCATTAACCTGCTTCTAGCATACCTGCATAGCGTTTGCATTGTGAGCAGCACCACAGAGAATGTGACGTTCAGTGTCTCACTTGTTTTCCTGATACGCTGTAGCCTGATATCAGAACACTGCAGGACCCTTTAGGGCATCTGCAACCACCATGGAAACAGCATCTTTCCTTTAATCTGCTGGATATGCGAATTCCAAAGGCTACACACTGTGCCAGTGTAATCCAAGCGGTATAATCATCAGCTTAATTTCAGAGGGTCTCTGAGGGGGCATTTTGCAGTTTGAATGTCTGTACTGGATCTCATACAAGGCGCCTTATAGGTGTACTATTGAGATATGGCAGTGTTTGTCCAACCCAGTCCTCAGCACACCTGAACCAGCCAATCAAGAACACCGAATACCTAGTACAGGTGCACTGGAAGCTGGGAGGGAGCAAAAATGTGGACTGGGTTCAGAAACACAGGGATATGAAATATAAAATGAATAACAACTAGGAAATGAGGAATACGTGACATATTGTTTGTGTGATGATGAGGTCACAGTTAGGGGGTGTGGCATTGTGGACAGCGTTGTTTGGTAGAGTGATCAGAAAGATGAGAACGTGCCACTTTGAGCATCTTTAGGCCAGTCTGCTTTCTCAGCGTCATACTTTGATTTCTCCTCATGCTCTGGGCTCCTCTCTGATCACAAAGGTCGGCTTCATCACACTGCTCCTCTCAGGTTGCCATAGCGGGGGGGAGGGCAGCCCCAGAGACCTTCAAGAGGTGAAGCGGCATTGTGTGTCCACGAGGCTGAAAAGGCCAACCGAAGAGAGTGGGCAAGCCGGTCATGCTAACCGCACTGCTGTGCGCTAAGTGTACTACTATACACTAATCACACTGCTGCACTCTAATCCTATGGCTATGTGCTAATCGTATGGCTATGTGCTAATTGCACTGCCACGCGCTAATCGCATGGCTACATGCTAATTCCAATGCTGCAGGCAAATTGTACGGTCACGCACTAATCTCACTGCCGTGCACTAATCACATGGCTACATGTTAATCGCACTGCTAAGCACTAATCTCACTGCTACAAGCTAATCATACGACTTCACGCTAACTGCACTGCTACATGTTAATTTTACGGCTACACGATAATTGTGCGAACACGCACTAATTGCACAGCCACACACAAATTGTACAGCTACAGGCCAGACAATCTATACGTGAACAGATGATTGGAAGCAGGAAGTGAACATGGTTACTTTGGCTAGTCATCTAAGAGCTACAACACTGGTTTTGTAAGTTAGTCAGAATTGGGAAATTGAGTTTATAGAAAAGCCATCTTAATCATTATTCACAGTTTTTTTTGTTTTTTTTTTTTACTTATACCAGGTCTGAAAATAAAGACAGTCCTCCTGGAAAGGAGATTCAGGTGTGGGTGTGTCAGGAGGAGAAGATCGTGTGTGGGATCAGCAAGCGGACCACTTGCTCCCACGTAGTACAGGCTCTTCTGGAGGACCACAGGAATGTTCCAGAAAACCAGAGGGTTCTGCATGGTGAAACCAGCGACTACTGCCTGTTGGAGAGATGGAAAGGGTTTGAGCGAGCCCTCCCCCCACTCACACGGATCCTCCCCCTGTGGGCGGCCTGGGGGGAGGAAAAGCCCTTCATCCAGTTTGTGCTGGTTAGGGCCGGTCAGTTTGCCCCGCAGTCGGGAAAGAAGGCGCTCCGGTACGGAAGGGCCAGGGCCCGGTCCAAACAGGCAGACCCAGGCCCGGGTGAGTACCTGAGGTCCCTGCCCATCGAACGTCAGAGACGGATGGTCAGGAAGGCTTTCAGGAAGCTGGAGAAGATTCGGAAGGAGAAGGAAAAGAAACCTCAGGAAGAGGAGACCATCGACAGGATGGTGCAGCTGATCCTCACTCAGGACCAGACCATCCAGCAGCAGATACATCGCATGAGGGAGCTCGACCTGCAGATCGACTGCATGGAACGGCGGCAATGGGAGGAGCATCGGCCACCTGAGCCGGGGTGGGCCAGCTGTCCCTCTCTGGACCTGGCGGAGCTTGTGGACGACCAGGAGCTGCAGGAGGACCCGTGCACCAGTGACACAATCGACCAGCTGGAGACGCTAGTCAGCCATCATCTCGGACTCATCGGAAAGCTGTCTCACGACATTGACATGGAATTACTCAAGTTTTTAGATGCAGAATCGCTGCCACAGGGGGCGACAGCGAGCGGCGGGTACGACCCGGAGGAAGCTGCCCAATTTGAGGAGCTCAGGAGGGAGCTGGAGGAGAGCATGCAGAGGGGAGCACTGCTGCATGCTGAGGCAGCACAGGTGGAGGAGGAGCTGCAGCACGGCACTCTGGTGCTGCGCTCGCAGAACTGTGAGTGCGAACATCTGGCCGGGCAGCTGAGCCACCTCAGCACAGGGGACAGTGGTGGTGGTCCGGGGGGGGTGGCGGCATGCAAGCCCGGCCACACCGAGGGCATGGACACGGACTCGGACACAGGAATCAGCTCCACCCACAGCCAGGACTCGCTGTCACCCTGCAGGAAGACACCCCCCTCGCAGGGAACTGAGCAGTAACACATACGCTCAGGAAAGGCCCATCCACCCTAAACCCTAAACCCCTAAACCCATAAACCCTAAACCCCTAAGCCCTAAACCCTAACTCCTAACCCCCTTGCGGGGAACTGAGCAGTAACACATACGCTCAGGAAAGGCCCGTCCACCCTAAACCCCTAAACCCCTAAACCTTAAACCCTAACCCCCTTGCGGGGAACTGAGCAGTAACACATACGCTCTGGAAAGGCCCGTCCACCCTAAACCCCTAAACCCCTAAACCTTAAACCCTAACCCCCTTGCGGGGAACTGAGCAGTAACACATACGCTCTGGAAAGGCCCGTCCACCCTAAACCCCTAAACCCCTAAACCTTAAACCCTA